CCCCCCCCCCCCTGCTCTTAAGGTACTCAATTCATGTTAGACTTTGTTTATATTTGAGTTTATGGCAGATTAAGCAACTGAACCTAATGGAAGACAGCTAGATCTTTTTTTGCAAATGGGAAATTCCTGAGTCTATGGACAATCTGTTTAAAGAAATGATAGCCCTGTTCTTTCCTTGGCCAGGGTAGTGTATAAGGCAATACATAGTTATGAAGGCATCTCTTCTATCGTGGTGCTATTTGAAATTGGAACGTTGTCAGAGTTCTGTTTAGGAACTATTTATAGGGGAAAATGCATCTTTTAGAAATGAAAGCTTTTATGATACGACTGAAAACTGTCTTCTCCCACTATTCCTACTGCAAGCCCTGCTGTTAAGAGCAGTGGAATAATTTTTTTGTGGCAGATAGGAGCTTCTTGGAAAATGATCTTAAGTTTAGCCTGTAATGTGAGCTGCTTCCTCTGCATGGCATTAACCTGTCCTTTTTATTTATTTATTTTTAGCAATTATTGTTCTTCATTTAGGTAATTTTCATCCTCCTGTTCTTACACTCCTGCCCATATTTTAATCCAGTCTAGGAATTTCTTACATTGACATTTTTACCATGCCCCATACTTACTGCTTTGGATCATGCAGATTCCACACAAGCAACACTTTTCACTGAAATCAAGGGAGCATTTTTAAGTTGCAGTGTTATATCCCTTAATAAATACTAAGCTCTCTTGTGTTCTCTAAGTGACTTCAGAAATTGTTGGTTTTTCTTAGGTGGTATGGAACAACTGTATTCTGATTGCACAATTAGCTTTAATGGCTCCAAAGGGACCACTAAGGAATGAGCAAATAGATGCTTTAAAGACTTTTTGGATGAGGGTTGATACAGCCAAGCCCTATGACTTCCTCTTTTTTCCTGTCATCTTAACTTTTTCTGTGTCAATGGCAGCTCATTTTTTAAATACATCAGAAACTTGAGCCACTGTGCTTTTCTTGACTCAAACTCCCCAACATAATCTATAAAATGTACTTGTGCTGTTATTGTAAATGGCCTAATAATCTTATCTGGGATCTAGCAGTTAGCTTGGGGCTGTTGCTTTCGTTTTAAAGGTCTTGCAAGCAAGGGAGCTCAGCTACCTTATTTGGAGTGCATATGCCTGACCACTGACCTCATATCTGCTTGTTTCAGTGTTTTTTACTTGTCTATATATGGAAAGGCTGCTTGGAGAGTAGTTATCTGACCTGAATTAGAAGTAATGCAACATCTGTATCAACAGCTGCTTTTGTCAGGATGCACTAATTGGGTTAAATCCAGGATGTTTAGCTGGTTTGTCTGCAAAGGAGGAACTTGAATCCTGTTGTTTGTCTGGAACTTTATGTATTCTTGCAAACAAGCTCTTTGTTCTGGTGAAGTCAGGAAGAAGAAAGAACATAAACAAAAAGTCTCTGCATTAGGAAGCTAATGTTTCACGTATGACCTAATTAAATCCAACTTTCCTGTAGTCATGGCAGTGAAGATCCCTGTTTCCCATTGGTGTCATGGGTAAGCACAATAGGGACACTGGATTAGATGTGAATGGGCTATAAAGAGCAGGAGGAGGTGGAATGAAAAGCCCAGCTCTAGGGAGTAGATTACAAAACACAGAAGATATAATAGTGCAAGGAAGCGCAAGTCAATCCCGCTTCCCTTCCAACATCATGGGACTACTTCTGTTGCCTGAGGATGTGGGTGTAAAATTTCCTCGACTTAAGGCTGCTTCTGGAATATCTGAGGGATTATGATAAGCAAACATTAGGTGAAATTTTTGGTCTCAATAAATTCAGTGGAACAACTTTTATGGAAATGAGTAGAGCTAGGACTTTACCCTGTGTAATGTGTACCACCTCTCATTGTAAAGCCACAGGAAGCACCTTACTGATGATACCTTGAGCATATCTTAAATGCAGCCGACTGTAGGACACTTGGTCAATTAGTGCACTGCACAACAGCCGTGGGAAAAGAGTTTGTCCAAGAAAACTTGACCTAACATCCCTGCTCTTAAGAAAGAAGACTGACCCCATGGAAATTTTCATAACACTGAGTGAAGAGGACCTCTTTATAAGGTCTCCCCTGATCAACTCTCTCCCTCCCCTTCCTCTCCTCTCCCCCAAATACATTAAGCCAAGTGGTCATTGTTTGTCTGAAGCCTTCCTTCTGAGATTGAAACCTATTAATCTAGCAAGTTCTGGAGTGAGATATTTTTGGGGTTCTTTTTTTAATTTTTTGGGTGTTAAGCCAGCAACTTAAAACTGTTCCCTAGGAGATTTTATTGTAGTTAGTTACAGTTACATGAATAATTGTTTAAAAAAAATACAGGCAGTGTTTCTGCAAGATGGTTTCCTACCCTTTTGTTTTTTGAACAGAAATTGTTAACAAAAATATCAGTGGAGAAAGTTTTCAGTCTTAAGTCCCAGTTTAAAAAATACTTTGGCATATTATTCCATGCTTTAAGAATCTGTTCTTCCATTGCTTAAGAGCCTGAGGGAATATTTTGGCTGTGTCCTTCAATATGTGTATGGACGCTACTCTTTAAAAGAATGAGTCGTGTCAATCATATGGGGAACAAAACTGAGTGATTCCTTTTGATAGAAACTCAACCCTTGGCATAACAAGCAGGGGGCTTAGTCAAGCTTGCTAGACTGCAGCTGTTTGCTACAGGCCAAGATCGTTAAATCGCTTTGCATTCTATGATAGTGCAGCACACACCTTGATTCTCAAACTTTTGAAGCCTAGCAGGAAGAAGGGTTCTGAATTTTCTGAGCTTGTGGCCCTCTGAGAGCAGCTCATTGATTTACGTTCTAGTAATCTTCTCTGTCAAGTCAAACGCATGTTGTGTAGGATACAATACAAATCTCCACTTAGCTTTTAGATTCCTCTCTCCTTTGGAATAATGAGCTATTGTGACTCCTGCTGAATTTCAGCCCTGGAAAGATGTGTGCCCCATTGTTTCTGTTGTTTTTGTGGGACTCCATTTGTTTTGAAGGGAATAAGGGGGGGGGGAGAATGCAAATTCCATGCTTTCCTTCTGCAGAAGGATCTGTAATGTGCTGGTGCTTACAGGTGTAGCAGCATGTTGAAAGCATGCCCTTTCAGCAAAGAAATTGGAATCCTAAAATCAGGGGATAGAAGCTTCTCTCATTTCTTTACTGAAGCAAAGGACAGAGTCTCAACTGTCAGTTGCAGTAAAACTTCTATCCATACAAGATTAGCCACCCTGTATGGCAGTCTAGAGTGTGCTAACCTTTGGGAGACCTAGAAGAACGATATCTCCCCCTGTTCCCCCCCATTAGAAGACAGCCCTCTAATTTAGGGTCTGTAGCATATTAGTGGGGCACTGGGAAGATGTTTGCACAGCTGTTTCGCATACCTTAGCTTTTCTATGGAGGACTCAGCTCTCCGGGGATATTGTTCCAGCTTGTTCCTAATGCTCACAAAAAATAATCCGAAAGGGCAAGTGAGGAAGATGCCATGGGGTAATGTTTTTGCTGGAGAAAGTGAACACGGATTTTTAAAGGTTATTCAACAGCACCAAGTTGCCTGTACCATTGGACTTGCTTGCATAGAATGTCAGAGGCAGAAAAACCTGCTTGATCACTGACTGGCTTTCTCTTTCTTTTTACTCTTATTGCAGATTAAAAAACAGCAGCAAGATGTGTTAGGTTTCTTGGAAGCCAACAAGATTGAGTTTGAAGAGAAAGATATTGCAGCCAATGAGGAGAACCGGAAATGGATGAGAGAGAATGTCCCAGAAGATAGCCGACCAGCAAGTGGAAATCCATTGCCACCTCGACTGTTCAATGATAGCCGATATCTGGGGGTAGGAAAGGGTTTGAATGATCTCCTTTGCTTCCTTGTTCTGCATTTTTCTGTCTCAATTTTTGCAGCTTACCAGAACAGTTTCTGCACTGCATTCTGTTTTAGCTGTTCTGTTTGCAACAGAAAAGAAGAATGCTTATAACTAAGCTTTTAAGTTTGTATAGTATTAATGCAGAAGAGCTATTATATATTTCCTCTTACCCTGTGGAGCCTTTAATAATATTTATTTTTGCACATTGCTTTTCTTCCATTATAGTGGGGCTAGAGCCCATGGGTTTTTTGCTATCTAAAAACTATTAGCCTGACTACTAGAGAACACTGTCTAGTAGCCAACAGGAGTATTTTTTTTTTCCTAGTTATTTTTTATCTTGATTTTTCTCTAAAAACAATTTAAAACTAGATATTTAAAATAATTTGAAAAAGCTCTGGAGATGCACTTTGCAAATACAGAATCTTGCAGTGTTGTGGTGACATCCCTTCCAAATGGGATTTTTTGTAGATGAGAAATTCTTCCCATATGGCGTCTGTCCTGTCTACTTTCAAAGGAAATGCTCAAATAAAATGACTTGCCATGTCAGCACATGGGCTTTCTTGAACTTGGAGGTAAAAGCTTTCTTGGGTTTAGCTTTTCTGGGTTCTGTTTACAAAATCCAAGGCAGTTGCGGTCTGTCTTTTCCTGTGTATAGATTTAAAAATAAGGTAGTAAATATAATATTGATTTTTAGTTGTTGACTATTTTGCATGCTTTTTCTGAAGTATGTTATTCCACACTAATGATACACATCACTGCTCAGCAGGCCACATATTCTAAAAGGTGTGAATTTATTCATAAGTGTGAACTTTTTATTATTGATAACTTAGTGTGTGTGGAAGACTGACAGACATACTAACTAAAAACATACAGAGCAGGCTCTTTCTTTCCAGACTTCTTTCATAAACTTCTCAAGTGCACCCAGGCTTTGAACTACAGTTTGTTTTAATTCAAACCTGAATCTCTTGAGCATGTTATCATTTGTATAGTGAGTGGCTGACATGCTGCCTTGTCCACCAGGAGCAAGAGGGTTTGCTTGCAACTCAGTCACAAGTGGCTACATTTTCAGTATTTTAATGGAGGTGTATATTTAAGCCATTGCACCCAATGTCCCTCAAATATAGCTTATTACCCATGTTTCTGCACGAACTACCTTCTATTATGACTAGGACTGTTTGTTGGTAAGGAAATGTTAATAAATATATGCAGGTTTCTGTGCAAACATCTTTCTCTTAGAGAGTACTTCTTTGGCAGAAGTGAAACTGACATTCATTTATATCTAGTATTGCCTGCCTGCCTTCCCACAGTACTACAAAGCATTTGCTTTGGCAGGCACATCACTGTGCCAATATCCTTTATCAATTCAATGTAGCCAACTTCATGCTGTAGTGCTGCAGTTGTCCAGCAAAGTATAATATTTCATGGTGGTGCAGGGCAGGAAGTGAAAAAAACTGCATGCATGCAGCTATGCTGGGAGGTGTACACATCACAAGTATTTCTAATGCACCAATGATCATAGTTTCATACAGAGTAATATATGATGGGCTTCGAACTACAGTTAGAGCAAGCTACTGCCTGCTTTGGTAGGGCTTGCTTGCTGCTTTTTGTTGTAATTTGTTGGAAAAGCAAAGGCTTTTAAAATCAGTTTTACTGTCCTCTGAAAAATGGCCAGATTTGGGGATGTTTTATCTGCGCTTGTAGGCTTTCCATGCTTGAGCTTTGGGGACTATACAGGGATGGTACCATGCCGAGTACACTTGGCTCTTTAGTTGCTAGAATCTTTGAGCAAAGAACTGAATACATTTGTTACATGTGGCATGAAAAAGACAGGGAGAGGCTAGAACATCAGGGGAGAAAATGTGACTAGCAACTATGTGGACTGCTGCAGGAAAGGAAAAGCAAAAAAAGAAAACTTCATCTTTAAGAGAACAGGAGATTGACTTCCAGGCCACAACAAGCCTAATCCCTCCCTTGAACCTTTTAATTGCTGAATCCTGAATTGCTGGTGGCATCCTGCTGCTTTTCTGTTCTCTCAGATTGCTTTATATAAGGCAACAGGCTGTGGAGGTACTAAATTAGAAAGAAAGTCCAGAGGGCAAAGAGGGGACCTGCTTGCTCATGGGGCTTTGGGCTCTGTACTGGAGTTCTACGGTATTTACTAAATAGATGCATGTGTATACACAGCCACTGGACGCGTGTGCATGTGAGGTTGAGGGAACTCTCAGCTTGCTTTTGCTTCAGGATATGTAGAGCATCATCTCCTTGTTTTGAGGGACCTGATAGCATTGTACCCTGTGTTGTCAAAGGAAAATTGTTTCAAATATCTTTACCTACTGGGCTACAGTGAAGCAGCCAGAGAGCACTGTCCTTTCAATGAGGTCTTTCATTTTGTAGTGAGCATATGCAAACCAACTATGTGTAAGATTATCCTTGGGATAATTCTAGCGAGTTTTTCGGGAGCATTTGTTGATGTAGTCTCCAGCTGCAATGTATATGAATGCAGTAATTCAGGAGCAAAGCAGTATGTCATTTCATCAGGCATTATGCATTCCTCACAGCCTGTCAATCTGATATTGAATAGGTCAGGTGGCAGACGAGCAGATTTTTTTTTTTTTTACCAGTCCACATTATTGTTTCTATAGGACAGTAATTCTCAACCAGGGTATGCCAGATCCTTTGAGGGAGTGCCCCTAGGTGTGAGGAGGTGTGAAGAGATAAGTTGATAATCAGTCTCAGGCTTGCCCCTGCCTGGATGATTCTTCACCCCTGCTGCCCAGTCTCTCTGCAAGAAGGTAAGCATTGTAATATATAAATTAATTTTTGAAATAGTGCCATTCAAGTCACAAAAGTTATTGAGGGATGCCTTGAGTCCAAAAATGTTGAGAACCACGGATATCAGTTTTAACCCTGCAAGGTGCTGAGTACCTTCAGTGAAGTTAATGGGAGATAATGAAACTACTTGAGTCCCAGGGTAGGTGTTGTTTTGTTTTTGTCTGTTAAGGAAGTTCAGCTGAGACAGAAATTCCAGAAAGCAGTGTTGTACTGCTTCAGAAAGTCTTATCAAAGACAAATAAAATTAGGTTAGGATCTCCCAATCAAGTTGAATTCAACTTGAGGGAAAAGAAAACCTTAAGTGTACATCCATCCTTCCTTTGGTATCTTTTATCAGATTCACCATAAACATGAACTCTTTACCTTCTTATTTTACCTTAGTTAGTACCTGCACATACCAAGTGTGTAGTGGAAGTTCTGCTGACCCTGATGCAATTACAAACCTTGAGCATCCGTACCCTGGCATGCAAATGATACCCTCTTCCCTTTGCTGCAGAGATTCTTGTCCTAGAAATGGTGCTAGAAATTGGAGCACTTGCCCATTCACTAGCAGGTTAGCCAGAACCCTTGTTCAACAAGCCCAGAGTGCATCGTTGGTACTGGATATCAGGAATGTGAGTGTTTGAAAAATCTGTACATGTGAATTCAACTAAAATCTGAGAGTTAGTATTTGAATTGAACAACAGCTAAACAGCTTTGAACTCCAGGCTCCCTCCCTCCCTCCCCTTCGTAAACTCAGTTACTTGTACTTTTGGTCTTGTCAACTTCTGGAGAGCCTCCTGACCACAACATTCCCCTGGAGACCACCACACTGGCTTTGCTCATTTCACATGCTTTTTTTGGCGGTGTATGTGTGGGCATGTGAAGCAGCTTGCCCTTAATGGCAGCTCCCTCAGTAACTTCAGCCTACAATGTGGCATGCTCCACGTTACTGGCATTCTCTAGCTACATGTTTTGACCAAGATTTCATGTGTCAGAAGAATGCCTGTTAAGAAGGAGCACAAACCAGGGTTATAGCATCAGTGAAAAGAGAAGGAGAGGGAGAAAGACAGCCCAAGTTGGGTCTGTAGTGTGAGTTTGGAAATGAGAATTAGGGATGTGGATGTGGTAATCCAAACAATGGGTGTCTTGCACAATCATTCTGTGGTTCAGTTAGATAGCATTGAGCAGAGCCACATTTTGATTTTGTATCTTTTTCCCACACACGGCAGATACACATGCAGATAGCTGCGTGCTAGGATAAAAGGCTGTTTTTTCTCTTAGAAAAACTCAGGAAAAGGAGAGGGAGAGAGAGTACATGTGCACTTATCCCACCCTTCTTAGCTTCCTTTTCCTTCGCAGTTCTTGCTTTGTGTGTAGCTGTCATCTAACTTTAATTGAGCATCCAACATAAGGCTGAGGTCTATACTGTTTACCAGTCTTAGGCACAAATTACGATTATCTGGATGTATGCATGCAATGAGTAAATACAGATGCCAACCTCTTACTGTGAAGAATATTTCTTTGACATATTCATTTGCACTAAATCATTAAATACAATGCTAATATAATAGTAAGGCTATGAATTAGTAATGTAAGAGTGCAGCTTTTTTTTTTTTTTAAGCATCAGTTCTGAATCAGTTCCAGATTGGAGGTAACAACTGACATCTCATCTGATTAGAATAAATTAGGGGGCTCACTCCATTCTAGTTTACTGGTTGCCATGGATACTGAAATTTACCACTTCTGGTACTTTTTTCAAAATCTGTTTTTGTGGATGGGTGGGTTTTGTGTGTGTGGTGTGTTTTTTGTTGTTGTTTTCATTTAAAACATTTGAGTGCAATGGATCTGAGCAGGTCTACTGATTTTGTTTCAGACTATGAGCCCCAGTCAGCCCTTGCTTGGGTAATCTGTATTAAATAGACTTCTTACACTTTTTAGTTAGCTCATGATCTTTCTCTCTTTCTGATTGTAGGATTATGAGGCTTTCTTTGAGGCAAGAGAGAATAATGCGGTGTATGCTTTTTTAGGCTTGACTGCACCACCAGGTTCAAAGGTAAGTAAGTTGGGTAGGTGAATTGTATTTCAGACCAGCATATACAACTTTTATGTACCAAGTAATGTCTGTCACTGTGTTGTGTTTTTCACACGTATGTATTTCTGTGGATCAGGAATACATTTTCCCTTCAAGGACTTCTGTTTTCAGACTTTGTTGGTATATACTGTCATATGTCCGTTTATCTGGTGGATTTTGCATTCCCCAAAAGGCTTGTTCCAATTTAGTGCATTGACCTATAACTGCAGTAGTTGATACTGTCTTGGTATTTTCACTGTGGGACCAGTCCTACTGCTTTTTACATTATTGGAAAGTCTTCCGCCAATATCAGTAGCAGGCTGATCAGGTCCTTTAGTAGTACTGGTTTCCTCGTGGCCTTGGCTGTTTTGTTTAGCACCTAAGGCAGCATCCAGATGTGCGTGGACGTTTGATTCCCCAGGGACAGCTAGTGGCAGCGCACCTTGTGTTGCTGGCAGTTGTCCAGGGGGAATGCCTGTGTCATGTGTGTCCTGACAGGTGCTTACCCCAGGTGGAGTAGGGGTGGCTGGGGCCAGAAGCCATACCATGGGTCCTGGGGCCTTCCCGGAGCTGCAACAACAGAGATTCTGCTGCACGGAGCCTGGCCAGCAGTGGAGTGTGGCTCTGGTTGGCTAGCCTCCAGCTTCAAGTGGTGTGTGTGGTGCCACCGTGTGTGCTGCTTTGTTTTTTGTTTTGTTTTTTTTTTGTTTTATCCCCAAATTTGTTTGTTTATTTTTTTTACCCCTGGTTATCAAAAAAAACCCTCTGTGCTGCTCTGAAAACTGTGTTCTAATGCTTTTCACTGGAAAGCCTGGTGAAAAGACACTAAAATAAATGGAAATGGATTACATTTGAAAATAAACAATTCTGTTGACAAATATTTTTAATGTGTCTTGCCAGTAGGTTTTGCAAGAGGCTTGTCACAGATAGTTAATATCATTAAAAAGATTTTCTTTTTTTCCTCTGTATGAAGCTGTGCATTCTCTTTACCAGTTATACACTTGATTTTTGTAAGACAGATGCACCAAAGTGGAATTCTGCCTTTGATTTTGATAGAACAGGACAGGAATGTTTTATGCATTTCACTTGAGGGTCTTAGGAGCCCTGAGTCACCTCCAGTCTTCTCATTCCCATGGGTAAACATGCCACCTTAAACTTTGTAAGGAAACCTGAAATGCTCTGTTTTGCACATATTACTCAAGGGCCTGAGTTAAAAGTAGTTCATGACCAATTCTTATTAAGAGTTGCAGGTTGGACTAACTCAAGTCTGAGGACCAGATTTTTGCCCTGGGCTAACTGCATTGATGTTAATGGAGGTACACCAGTGATAAATAAGGCCTATTTTTTCTTTGGTACTTTCCTTCCTAAACCTAACCTAACTCCAGTTTCAGAGCAACAAAACAAATACTTGGATGCAGTTGTGGGGAAAAATGGTTCTCCTTGTCAGTATAGCTGTTTGTTACTGTAGTATACTTCAAGGAAAAGATCACTTAAAGAGAAACAGACTTTTAGTTTTTAACCCTTACGCTGCCTTTTAAGGTTCAAGGGAGTGTTGATTACGAGTCTAATCTCTCTGACTTGCCAAAAGTTTTGCTGTTAGCCTGACTTGGCAATTGGGCTATCACTAAATGTTAGCAAATCAAACTGACTGTTAGCTTGAAGGCAAAGCTTATTTCAAAACATCTTGGGTTTGAGCACATTGCAGGTAGAGAATTGCTCCTTGCAGCTTGGCTGTATTTTCTGACAGCTATCTATGTAATTCCTGTGAACAGAATTCAGTAAAATGGAAGGAGATGGATATTGGACCAAGTTGCATGCTACAGGCAGTCCTCGGACTTATGACAGAATTGGTTCCTGAAAACCACGTCTTAAGTTGAAATGTAACTTGGAACCGATTTCCCCCCCCCCGCCCCCATAAGAAACAGTGTTATAAATGGGGGATTGGTTACTGAACCAAGGCCTGATACCTTATTTTCACCAAAAATAACCCAGAGTTTTGTACTCTATCAATTATAGATGAGTAATATAACTACGTTAATGTATTTACATTGTAAATAGCAATCGTATTGATTTGGAAAGACTTCTTTGAGGTGACTTTGCTGGACTTTTTGAAGGGCTCTTGGTTGGACTTTTTGAAAGGTTCTTGGCTGGAGTCTTCTCAGTCTTGGCTGCAGGTTTTTCTGGAGTCTTGTCTACTTTCTTAAAGGCAGTGTCTAAGGCAACACAGCAAACTTGTTCACTGGCATGGCATGGTGTCAGATCAAGTGTTGTAAAGTCTAAACTGACGTCATAAAGTTGAAACAGGGTGTCAATTTATAAACATTGTAAGTGCGAAATGTTGTAACTCCAAAGGTTGTAAGTTGAGGACTGCCTGTATGTGCTGAGGAGATGTACATTTTGACAGCACACTATAAGTTTTTATGAGGTGTCTGGAAAATGTGTGATGGAATAGAAGTTGGAGCCAAACTCCAGAAATGACATTGGAAATACAAACAGGTATTTATTGAGCATCAGTGATTTGTTTAGTGCTCTCTACAGGAATCAGAAATAAGTCAAACAAAACCCACTTGATAAATACTGTAATTAACCAGACTTCCAGGGGTTCAAGTCTCTTAAATATACAGAGTGGTGAGTTAAAGCTTACAGCTAGACATAAATAACTGACAGTATGCTCAATGAGTGTCCTAATGGGAATGTTCTAAGGAAGGATTTGAAAGGAAAGAATATCACACCTCCTTAGCATCTTGCAGAATTGGATTTAGAGATAAGGAATTGATACAGTCTGTAGGAGAAATGGATCAGTATGCTTACTATGGAGGGAGCTTTAGGATACTTTTCTTTCCTTTTTTCCCAAGAGGCCTGCTGTGAAGTAGCTTGCCCTCCCTCATAAAACCATTTTTGGTGCTTTTTAACTTGAGAAGAGAGGCTAGATGTCATTCCTGTAGCCTGTTTGGCCACAGGGACTTGATTGGAAGGGGCGAGAATCTCACTTTGCTCTGCATTGCAGTACAAGTAACCCTGCCCTATAGAAAACATGGCCCATCATTTTCCTTCTTTGCTTCATTGCCCATCTTTACTAGTGTCACACCTTCCTCTCTGCTTTCTTCATAAAAATATCTTTTTGTGTGAGTGCCCTGCTTGAGTAACTTATGTCACTGGATGATTGATGTGTACCTTTTTGCCTGTAACATGTGGCCATTGTAGCAGAATGTACTCCCTCAATTTTTTGTAGACCCGAGTCAGTGGTTGGAGCTATGGTATTCCCACACTCCAGGACTTGGAAGCTGCAAGATGAGATGGTCTTTTTGCCATTTGTCTGAGTGACCCACCAAATACAAGTTAATGGAGATGTGTGGAGTGATCCTCCTACCTCCTCGGGTAGAGGTCATTCACTTTGGCCCATCTCTTTATTTGAGAAATGGTTTTTTGGCTTACTAGAAATCCCATGTTTTCAGACTATCCACTTACTTATTTTGTTAATTTGTAAACTAGTTATAACTGTTCAGATTTGGAATGGTTTAGATAAAGGAGCCTTGAGCAGAGGTTTGGACTAGACCCTCCAAGATCTCTCCCAACCCTTATTGCATATGATAGTGTGGACTTGCGTAATAGAAACAGAGTTCTTTTGACATCAAAATGGGGCCAGATTTCACAGTCACACAGCACACTAAATGCTGGGCTTTTTTAGAAGAGTATATAATAGTTAACCAGCCTCTTCTCACTATCTTTAACTTTAATTTTAGAAGATGGGTAAAATTTCTCCAAAAACCTGTTAGTATATTTTTCCACGGTGAAATTGCTTTAATTTTTTTCTACAGTTTTTCCTAAGTGTCTTGGCTGACCATTGTACCTCAGAAAGCCTTTGTAATCTTTTTAGATTGTTATTAAAACACTGTTTTAATAGTTTTGTAACCTGACATGAATTATACAAAACCCCCCAAAAATGTAGTTACATACCATTTTTTATTTTATACTTGCATGGTCAGACCTCACCTGTTTGACCATGGTCTGGAAAGCACCACAGCTAGCTAGTCAAGAGACTATGAATACTTGTAACTTCTATTTCAGTTTGGTAGAAGCTGAGGATACCTAGAACTTTACAAGATTGGACCCATAGTAATTTAGGGCAATTTAAGTCACTGGAAGACCTTTGTTTGACTTAAAAGCTTAGTGCTGCTAATGTTTTGGCCGTGTATTACTAGGATTTTTTTATTGCAGTACAGATGTCCACACCTAGTATATAGTTATAAAATGTACCTATTTAATTTTCTGGGAACATCTTTAGTAGGGGTAGGCAACCACTGGTATGTGTGCCATGCTCATTTTGCTTGGCACGCGTGCCTTAGGGAAAGGGCTGGGGCTGCACTGCCACAAGGATCAGGTCCCTCATGGCTTCCTCACCATCTGCCCCGGCATGCCAATTTCTTACAAATCAAGGTTCAAAGTGGATTTTTGTTTTGTTTTTTGGCACCCTGCCCAAAAATGTTGTTGACCCCTAATTTAATAGTAGGTGTATGCACTGGACAGAAGTCCCTAAACTAGGCCCTCTTCAATCCTTCCAATGGTTTTTACCTGCATTCGTTATATAAAAAAATATGGGTTGTAACCTCTGATAAAATACTAACATTTAATTCTTATTTTATTGTTTCAGGAAGCTGAAGCACTGGCAAAGCAGCAAGCATGAACATCAACTGCCTTAAATGTTCTGTAAAGGGAATTTTCACGGCTTTTTATAAAATAGTAAAATTGTTTCTGCTCCAAGAAAAATGGATATAATTTCTAATATTTTGATTGGTGCTTGCGGCATCCATGATATTAACATAAATTTTGAATACAAGAAAAATGTGAAAATTTGGGTAAAGAGCATGGAATACGCTATTACAAAGTTGGAGGTATAACAAAATGAAGCAACTGGTTTAAAGTGGTTTAAAAATCAGGTCTTGGCAATGGTGTCCATTTTGTGCAAATTTAAGGGGAAAACCTGATTTTTTTTTAATATGAACAACAGAGATACAATTATACCCAGTGATCCAACTATTTAAAAACAGGGAAAAGGAACAACAAACATAATCTTATCTGATAACTCTAGTGCCTGAATTGCCTCAAAAATGTTACTGAACAATATATGAATACAGTAATTTTTCAATGTCTTTTTAAATTGTGGTTGAAAATTTAAATTGTAGATGGTATAGTATAGTAACCTTCCTAAGCTCTTAGATGTATTTCCTTTTTGTAGGATGGATATTTTAAATTGTATTGTGGCACACTGTACAGATCTAAAAAATGTTGCCATGTACTTCATTTAAGTGACCAATGTGGGCCCTTTCCACAAAATAAAGATTGGAGCAATGAATAGCATTTTGACTAGCAAGTTCACCAATAAGTTGCCTAATCCATGACTTGATTACATGTTTCTGTGCAAGATTTAGTGCACCTCAGTGAAATATCCTCTAATGCCTAGGAAGTGTTGCAAAGAAGCCAAAAGGGCCAGAAATGGCACTTCCTTATATGTTGTAAGAGTTGAAGCCTTTAATGTAATACTCCTCAAAAGTACCGTTTCACAAAGCTTATAGCTCTAGACATTTGGGTGCACATTCAAATAATCACCAGGTGTAATATAGTAATTCTTCACACAAGAACAAAAAAATAAGTGTTTGGGTGGTAAGGACTGTTGTAATTGAAGAAGGCTTTGTCTTTCAGAATGTAAAAGTGGATTTTGTATTGCCATGACATTGCCACTCCATGTTGGAATTTGTGAATCCTATTAAAGAACAGCATCATGTATTGATGAACTCACTGTGTGCAATATTAACCTGTTCCATGCCTCTGGCATACCTCAGATAATCAGCCAAGAGACATTCACATACCCAGTATTTTTGTGGCCATACTTTGCAGAATCACAAACACCCTGTTTAAGAACGTAAACTTCACATCCACCTGTCTTCGCTTATACTTTCCAAATGCATCAATATTAGTTGAAAGTGGTACCACAGACCTTACATTGGTTGGAAAAGTATTCTAAGGCTATGCTAGATAAATTACCTAGCGTAGCCTAAGTAGAGACATTCAGGCCAGGTACACAAATTACAAACTGGTGTAAGTGATCGGAAAACGGTCTAAATCTGTACCAGGACAGAAGCTAAGTGCATGTAGACTGGTTTAAAAATGGTGGAACCTGGTTTAAGATAGTTGTGGATGGATGTGGTCTCAGATTTAATCAGACAAGTCTATTGAACTTCTGTCCTAGATCCCCTCCTGACTCAGGTTGAATTCCCTTGGTATCCCAGGATGCCTTGTGGCCTGCTAACCCTCACCCCCCTCTCTTGCAGGGTGAGCTGGCAGGCAAGCCTCTGCTTGCACTCATCTGCTCTGGCTGAGCTGGGCCAGCCCTGCCCCCAGGCTGTCACAGAGCTGAGGCAGCAAAGCCACTATGCCCCCAGTCCTATGTCCTGCCTGCACTTGTCGGCTGGGTTGGGGGGGG